TTTTTTTTTTTTTTTTTTTTTTTTTTTTTTTTGAGACAGGCTGGAGTGCAGTGACATGTTCATAGCTTACTGTAACCTTGAATTCCTGGGCTCCAGAGATCCTCCTGCCTCAGCCTCCCCTGTAGCTAAGACTATAGTCATGTGCCATCACACCTGGCTACTTCTAAATTTTTTTTGTAGAGGCACGGTCTCGGTAAGTTGCCCAGGATCGTCCTCCCACCTCAGGCTCCCAAAGTGCTAGCATTACAAGCATGAGCCACTGTGCCTGGTTATGTTTTTATTTCTATATTCGAAACTTTGCACTGGTAGTTCTGATGGCCATTTAATTATAACATGGCTTAAGATTTTATAGGACTGAGTAGCCCTTAGACATTTTTCATCCCAATTGTTTCTTTGAGATTTTTTTCTTTAACTTTTTACTATGGAAAATCAAATATGCTAAATTAGAGAGAATAGTATAGGAACTGGAAAACTTTTTTTTGAATGCATAATAGAATATTTTTTAACAATGCACAATGATCCTAGCATTTCTGCTTTCCTTTATATTAGGCAGTCTTTGTAAGTCCCAAGTTTATAATGAAAATATTTTCACCATGTACAAAATAGTTCCTAAAATTATAGTAACATATTACCACTGTTCCTCTAATTCACCAAGCCAGTTTTGAGCCCTTCTCTGTGTCCAGCATGTGTTCTAAGAGGTGTGAAGGATACCATACCAAGAAGAGGCTCCCTGCCTGCAAGGTGCTTATAATCCAGTTGGGTAGATAGAAACTTTAAGTGAAAGAACTGGAGACTATCCTGCTATCATCTTAGCTTTATCCTCTGTAAAAGCCAATGACAGACAGCTTATAAGATTAAATACATAACAAATGAAACAGAGAAAGCAGCTAAGAGCCTGCAATAGGTGAGCCAGAAACAATAGTCTCCAAATGCATGATTAAGTATCTGTCAGCACTGGCACAGAACAGGGAGACTGACATTTTATCCTCAACCAAGCCAGGGAGGTGGTCATACCTAGTGCAATGCTAAGCACTCAACTGGTCAGTGAATTTTGTAAAACAGTTTTAAATGTGAACCTAACGGTCCAGTTTCTGATTTTTGTTGTTGTTGTTGTTACATTAATAAGTTCTTTAGTGGTGATTTTTGAGATTTTTGGGGCACCCATCACCCAAGCACTGTACGCTGTAGTCAATGTGTAGTGTTTTACCCCTCACTCCCCTCCTACCCTGTTTCCTTGAGATGTTTACCCCTATCTTTTCCACATCCTTTTTTTCTATACAATTTTATGATTTCTATGAGATATCCTATTGAGATGTTAATTGGTATTGTATTTGTATCTACTTATGCAGAAGAAGAATCTAATTTTCCTTATTCAAGTTGTCTTTTATTTTTGCCATTAAAGTTTTGTAATTCTGTTTATATAGATAAGAGTATCAGCCTCACTAAATATTTGGTTTTTGTTGTTGATGTTGAAAAATACACCCTTTTTTCAGTATATTTTTGGCATGTAAATTAAAACTATTTTTTGTGTTTATCTTATAATCTGTAGCCTTCCAAAAGAAACTAAATTTTTGTTGTTTCTCAAATTTTCTAAATATGAATTGCCATTTGCAAAGAGTGATTTTAAAAATTCATAATTTTCTTTGTATTTCTGAGTCCTATCAGATTGCTAGAAACTTTTATATCACATAGAAATGTTAATGGGAACACTCCTAATTTGTTCTAAGTTTTGTTTTTGTTTGAGACAGGGTCTCACTCTGTCACCCAGGCTGGAGTGCAGTGGCACAATCGTGGCTCACTGCAGCCTTGACCTCTTGGGTTCAAGCCATCCTCCCACCTCAGCCTCCCGAGTAGCTGGGACTACAGGAATGCACCACCACTCCTGACTAATTTTTGTAGTTTTTGTACAGATGGGCTTTTCAGCATGTTGTGTTCTAAGTTCTAAATAGAACAATTATAAATTTCTTCATTAAAAATACTAGAGGCGGCCGGGCATGGTGGCTCACACCTGTAATCCCAGCACTTTGGGAAGCCGAGGCA